CAGTGGATTCACATTGGACATTAATTATTTTAACGAAAACATTATATAAATGCATCGTGGAAAGCTTGACGTGTGTGGCCGATAAATAACAAAGGATAAAGCTAGCTAGCTCCCTGTTAACTGAATTGCGCCTACATCAAGCCGAAATTAACTCGTGAACCCTCCATAAGATATTAAGGAAGTTCCAGACTAGAAAGAAGACTTTATATTGCTTGTAAGTGTGTGAAACTTTTGTTTATAAGTCATTGTTTGTAATAACTATTTGTAATACCTGTTATTGTAAATTATATTGTTGTGTGTATATGAAAACGTATTTGTATAAAAGAAAACTGCGTATCAATCTTTTTCGCAAATATTATAAACTGACTATATATTGGCTTTTATTTAACTGCTAAATCCAAAGTACAATTTAACTACTAAATTTAAATTTGTCAATTAACTCAATTTCAGGCTATTTGAAATTCCAATACGTAACAAAAATAAATAAATAATATAAACTCACTTGTACAAAGTAATTTAATATGTGCGGTATGCTAACACAGTCCCAAATACTTCATTAAAAAAACATTGAATGATTCGGTCTATAATACGAAACAACTCTCTGTTCTTTAACAATCTTCTCCGAATATTTATAATCTACTCTCGAGTTTACTAGTACTAGAAAACCTTACTTCAAATCTAGAACTTTCTAGGCCCATATTATTAAAACTTAGCGGCAGTTTGTTTGAAGTTATGCACAAAGCTACACAATGGGCTATCTGTGATCTGCCCACCATGGGTATTGAAACCCGGTTTCTAGCGATGTAAGTCCGCAGACATGCCGCTGTGCCACTGGGGGCTTAGCGGCAGCATTATGACCGCAGTTCCCTTCAGCTAGCAAACAAATTACAACATAAAAAATATAATGTTGCGTCAGCGAGTCACGTGACTACTATGACGCAACGTTTCTGGAACTATCATGTACTTTGGCGAATGTTCAAGTTCTTGCTAGATATAGGGTGGGCGGATATATATATATAGGAGGGGACAACGTGACGCGGTAAGGTGTAGATAGTGAGTAATTGAACTGCAGTTAGAGATAGACGTATTGTTATAGTTAACGTTCGTTCGTTATTATAGTTTGTTATTACGCGACTGTTGAGAATAAGTGTATCGGTAAAGTT